GCTCCGCAGCCCTAACCACTGGCTGTGGTTTCTCAACCTCACCCCCCAGTAAGTCCCCTCCTGGGTTGCCCTCCAGGCTGCCTTATCCGCTGGAGGGCCACGGACCACCACGACCTTGCCCACACACAGTCATGCCCCGGAGTGTGTCCGAGCCACTCAACAACCACACGGTAGGACTCAGCAGGCCCAGCAGCATGGCTCCCCAATTCCCACTGCAACCTGTTCACTCCCGGATCTAGCAAGCTCTTCCCATCTCTGGGACCCCCTCCATCTGTGACCCCAGGGCATTGCTCTAGCTCCTCACATGCAGTTTTTTTCTTTTTTAATAAAGAATTATTTATTTAATTTTATTCATTCATTTTCATTTGACGCGCGGGTATTTATGTGAAATAGCCCACCCACCCACGGCATGAACTTATGACCCGAGGAAGACTTGAAATAGAGATGCCCAGGCCTCAAGTCCCTCATGCCATGGCCAGATAGCATGCACCACAGGGGGCCGATGGGGACAAGATGGCAGTGGGGCACTCTCTAGATGCGCCCGAGTGCCCCACCGCGGTTTTGCAGAATGGCAGGGCCCCCAGAGTCAGCCCCGCTTCCGGTGGATTCCTCTCTCTGCCCCGCATTACTCAGCGCCCTGAAATGTCTGCCTTCCTCCCGTGTCCTCGGAGCGCAGCACAAAGACCTGGTTGTGGGCCTGCAGCCCGGGCGGCAGACCAGCCTCTGGGTGACTCACTCCCTTGCCATTTCCTCCGTGTGGCTCCCAGGCCGCTCGCTGGAAGGCTGCGGGCTGCGGGCGGAGCGCCGGCGGGCAAGGGGCTGGCTCCTGACGGCCGCGGCCTTTCATGTGGGCAGGGGGGGCTCCCGGCACGCGAAGCGAACCCACGCCCGAAGCCTCCCCAAGGCAGGGGCTGGCGCAGGGACGCAAGAATCAAAGCGCCGCGCTGGGGGAAGGCACGTGTTCCGCATCAGGCGCTGCTCTGCTCCTGCTTCCCCAAACCAACACATCTGTTTGAAAAGCGAAAATTACCCACGGAAGGGAAGGGCTGGACAGCTTGAGGAGCAACGAGGGCTGCCAGGCTCCTGGTGGGTCTTGGTCCCAGCTCAAATGCCCAGTCAGCTGGTGCAGAACCTGCCCGGGCTGGGGAGCAGCCTTCCAGGTCGGCTCAGGGTGAGGTCCCCACACTCGGCACGCTGGGCCAGGCTGTCTGGGTACCCGGCCAGAGGCAGTGGGGCTAGGGGACCCTCAGCAGTGACCGAGCCACTAAGCACTGGACCAGGAGTCTGCAGACACTTGTCCGGCGGCGAACTGCATGACGCGTGGCAAATCTCAACGGTGGAATTTCCAGCGTCCTTCAGAGATGGGCCTAAGCCAGGGCTCCTAAGGCCACCCCTAGTCCGGCAGCTACCTCCTGCTCCCACCCACCTCTGCCCAGCAGCCCTTACCCTTTACTGTCCAGCCACTCTGGACAACTCATCCTCCCTGGAGCACACCGTGTTCTCGGCCACATCCAGGTTTTGCACAGCTGTTCCTGCTGTAAGGGAACCCTCCAGTTCTCTGCCCAGTTCTCCTGGGAGTCACCCAGTGTCACCTCTTGCAGGAAGCTTCTCCTTGAAGGTTGGCATGGTGGCTGCTCCCTGCACTGCTCTGAGAACCTTTGCAAAGCCCGGCCACAGTGCTTACCACCCCGTACTCTGCCATCCTTGCCAATTTACCTGGGGGAGGAGGCTGAGGTGGTAGGTGATCGAGCGGGCGAATGACGTTTGCGAAAGGAAATTGCTTCACACGTCAGCACCCTCTGGGTGGGCAGTGGCACTGAGACGAGCCCTACAGGAAGCCTAAGAAAATGCCTCTCACAGTGTCCTTCCTCTGCAGCGTGCAGGCGTCTCGCATATAACTGCAGCTGCCGTTGTGAGGTTGTTGCCTTTGAATGAGAAGGACCCAGGCGGGCCAGGGACAGAGCACTTGGCATTGGGATGTAGGGTCAAAATCCACACACCACGTATAATCAGACCACTGGGACGAGGACACGTGCAAGCGTAATGACGTTGTACCTGTTTCTCTCGGGCCAGGTCAGCAGGCTGTCCCTGAGAACAATGCGGAGGGCACGGAGAACGGTCTGCACATTGCCCCAGTCCTCTGGGGCTGGCAAAGCTTTTCCTGCTGTTGATCTCACTGGATGTAAGCAGGCAGAGTGAAGATCGTTTCTGCCCCCATTTTACAGAGGGGCATACCAAGCCTTAGGGAAATCGGTTAAGTCTTGCTTAGCGTTGCACAGAGTAGGTGGAAGGCTGGCCCCATGGCCTAGTAGTTGAAGGAGCCAGATCCCCCGTGGCCAACCATGCCTTTAGAATCCTGGTCCTGACTTGAAAAACACACCAGGCGCGTGCATGTGTGTGTGTGCAGCGTGCGTGCATGTGTGTGTGTGCAGTGTGCGTGCATGTCCCAAATTCCAGCTGGATGGAGAAAGGGAGGAGAGGAGATGAGGGCGTGACCATATCCACTCAGGGGGAGGGGGTGCTTTCTCCTCTCTGTCTCTCTAGTGAGTGCATGCACCCTCGGGCAAAATGAAACAATCAAAATTTTAAAAAGTAAGTGAGAAGAAAGAACCCAAGTCCTCCTTCATTCTAAAAATCCCGAGAGACTAAAGAGTGTTGAGCACCGTAAAAGTGAATGAGGTGTGGTGCTAGCCACCACCGCACCCTGGGCTTGCCTGGGAGACCCACACAGAGCAGGACGCACACTGTCTGCCTACCAGGAACACGGGGCCGGCCGGAGTCCGCAGTAAGGGAAGGTTTGTCCTGGCTGTGAGGCCAGGGAAAAAGGAGACTTCAGTGGGAGGCTGAAGAGTAGGGAAGAGGCTCCAGGAGACGGAGAGGGGCCAGGGAGAGAGCGCAGGGACTGCGCAGGGAACTACATCATTACACAGTGGCCCCTTGGTGATAAGGTATTAGTTTTCCATTTTAAGCCAAGAACAATAAGAGCAGATGGAGTAGTACATAAATTTAAAGATCCTACATGTTCTTTTCTTCTTATTTCATTATAGATTTTAAAGTTTTTAAAGCATTATTTAATTTAATTTTATTTATCCATTTATTTCAATTTGACTAGAGAGGGGCCAAGTGAGAGACCAAGAGTGCTAGAGAAGGTGAGAAAGAAAGCCGACAGGCCTGAGACTCGAACCGTAGCCAGCCAGTGCCCTTAACCGCCACACCACCTGCCAGCCCCCCCACAAGTTTTTTTTTTTCTTGGAAAGGTTTTTGCTATAGGGCGTGTGCGCTCGCCAGACAGACAGAGAGAGACAGAGAGACAGAAAGTGAGAAATCACCCCCGAGGGGGGATGGCCACCCTGCAATCCCTTCTCCTCCATTCTCCTCTCGGGATCTTAGGCACACATGCACACACGCCTGGCATGAGTTTTAAGCCACTGGGTCTGGGACTCGAACCATGGTCGACTACGTGGGAGTCCAGTGACATAGCCATTATGCTAACTGCTGGTTCCCCCACAAGTTCTTTTAAAGCACCATTTTTGGGCCTCACCAAGTCTCTGTGGCAATGGACCTATCCCACATATTCTTGCAGGTAACTCTCCCAAAACGAATGTGAATTTGGGAATCGTTATCTGTTGAATAGAAAACTGGGGTAGTGGGGCCAGCCGGGTGGTGTGAAAGTTAAGGTGAACGGATGTCACATGGCCAACTGAATGGTTCGAGTCCTGGACCTGACAACTTGAGAAATGCGCCTGGTGTGTGCACACATGCCCCACGTCCCAAGAAAAGGATGGAGGAGAAGGGACTGTGGTGTGGCTATTCCCCCTGGGGGGTGTTTTTTCACTTTCTCTTTCTCTCTTAATTGCTCTGTCTCTACAGCAAGCACATGTGCCCTTTAGCAAATTTTCTAAAAAATAAAGAAAAATAGGGGACCAGCAGATGGTTAAATGGTTTTTCTGCTGGACTCTCACATAGTTGACAGGAGTTCAAGTCCTGTACCTGGTGACTTAAAACCCATGCTGGACACGTGTGCATGCATTCCCAAAATCCTGCGAGGAGAATGGAGGAGAAGGGATTGTGGCGTGGCTATCCCCTGGGGGTGATTTCCCACTTTCTGTTTCTGTCTCTCCAGTGAGGGCATGCGCCCTATAGAAAAAAATTCTCAAAAAAAAAAAAAAAAAGACAGAAAGAAAGAAAGAAAGCAAAGTAGAAAGCTGGAGTAGTAATCGGAGAGTGCTGTGGACTGTCCCTGTAAATTTATAAATTGAAATCTGAACGTCCGGTGTGATGGTGTTAGTTTATGGTGCCTTTGGGGGATAGTTAAGTCATGAGGTGGCACACTGATGCATGGAATTAGCGCCCTCGTGAGAGACCTCAGGGAGTTCTCTGGCCCGCCTTCACCCGCGAGTCCGTGAAAGGAAGTCGGCATGCCGCACCTGGGAAGAGGACCCTTGGCAGGAGCTGGCCATGCTGGCGTCCTGAGCTTGGACTTCTGGTCTGTAAAGCCATGAGAAATAAATTCCTGTCATTCACAAACTACTCAGTTTATAGTAGCTTATTACAGCAGGTCCAAACAGACTAGAACGTGGAGCATTGAGCAGGTCAGTGGAGGACGATTTTTTTTTTTTTAATTCATTCATTTATTTTAATGTGACCAGAGAGAGAGAGAGAAAGTGAGAAAGCAAGCGCCCAGGTCTGGGATTCAAATCGTGGTCAGCCATGTGGGAGTGTTCAGTGCCTTAATCCCCACACCACTTGCTGGTCCCAAGGTTTTTTTTTTTTCTGTAGAGGTTTTTGCTACAGGGTGCGTGCGCTCGCCAGACAGACAGAGAGAGAGACAGAGAGACAGGAAGCGAGAAATCACCCCCCAGGGGGGATGGCCACACCGCAATCCCTTCTCCTCCATTCTCCTCTCAGGATCTTGGGCACACACGCACATGCGCCCAGCATGAGTTTTAAGCCACTGGGTCTGGGACACGAACCGCGGTCGACTACGTGGGAGTCCAGCGACATAGCCATTATGCTAACTGCTGGTCCCCCCATGATTTTTTTTTAAGAGAGTTTTTTTTTTTACATAGGTTGCTTGTACACACCAGAAAGACAGAGAGACAAAAATGAGACATCATCTCCCGGGGGAGTGGGCTATGCCACAATCCTTTCTCCTCCATTCTCCTTGGGAGTTTTGGACACACAACACACACATACACATATACACACGTCCAGTGTGAATTTGAAGCCACTGGGTCTGGGACTCAAACTGTGGTCGACCATGTGGGAGTCCAATAATGTAACCATTCTGCCATCTGCTGGTCCCACATGAAGGATGCTTTTTAAGATAGGAGATATAACAGCATGTCCTGGGCTGAAAGAAACAATCTAGTAGGGAGACCAACAGTGCCCATGCAAAAGTGGGGCATCAGCCTGAACCTGCTTTAACAGACATTCGGTGCCCTCTTCTCGTGTCCCCTGTCTGGGTGCTAGATCCTTGAGTCCACAACCTCCGTCTTCACCTCTTCCTGTTTCCCCAGTCTCATCCTATCAACCCCAGAATCACCTCTGCTGGCTTACTGGGTAAACAGATCAGAAGTATCTATTTCGTCATGCTGGTCTGCTTCATTCATGCACCTCTTGGGAAGAAGGCAAGCATGCAAATAGAAGGATATGAAGGAGACTGAGCCAACGGGTATGTTGCCCGCAGAAGGTTCTGAAGGAGACTGAGCCAACGGGTATGTTGCCCTCGGCTCCCAGAAGCCCCAGAGACCCGGATTCAGTAGAACGCAAGAGCCTCTCCTGAAAACGCTGGAAAACAGCCAGCACTTTGACCCACGTTGTGGATCCACACCTGAGTCTCTGTATTTGCTACTTCTTGTAGACATTGCTGTGTTAGATTTATTTAGGGATGACGACCCAGCTAGTGACCAGTTACTGGGAAACATCACAACCCTCCCTCAAATGCAGGCCTTTAGCTGAAAGAGTAGGACCCAAGGAGTCATAATAGTGTAATACGACACCATTCCTGGTCAGCTAATTGGACCAGGGGTGAACACACGACTTTGGGCTACAAGCCAATCAGCTTCCTGAGAGAATTTAAGCTAGGAGACACAGAGACACGAGTCAGGAGGATGCTTGAACTAAATGTCCTGAGAGAAGAGGACAGCACTTACTGCTGTGTATGACAAAGCAGGAGTCAGGCAAACCTGCATCATGAGAAAGAGAAAACTGAGAGCCTTCTCGATAGGTCCAGTGTGCCAAGACAAGAAAGGAGCAGACATGCAGGGTTAGAAGTGATGCAAGACCCTCTAGTCCCTTGAAGGACAGAGAGGGGAGATTTTTCTGTTCCTTGTGACCTAACAATACTCTCTTACAGTCTTTGAGGATGAATACCAGTCCCTTGTATCCTTTCAATAAGTGCATCCTTTCAATAATCCTTCTTTCATTAGAAATTGTTTGAAAGGATCTGGTCCTTGTTGCCAATAGGCCCCAAATAGGAACATTGCACAAGCCAAAGACTTAGGGTATGTGAAATAATCCTCGGAATTCCTTGGCTCAATTCAATCAACATTTCATGAACACCTTTCACGTGCCAGGGTATGGGGCTGTTCTGAAGAAAATTAAGGCCCAGGATCTTTCCTCAAAGACTTTGATAAGATGTGGTTCCCACATACCTAAACCACAAGGTAGTTTAATGTTACTGGTTTTAGAGAAATGCAGATGGGGGACCAGCAGTTAGTGTAATGGCTATGTCGCTGGAACTCCCATGTAGGCGACCGTGGTTCGCGTCCTGGACTCGGTGGCTTAAAACTCACGCCGGGCGCATGTGCGTGCTTGCCCAAGATCCCGAGAGGAGAATGGAGGAGAAGGGATTGTGGCATGGCCATCCCCCCGGGGGGGTGATTTCTCGCTTCCTCTCTCTCTGTCTCTCTCTGTCTGTCTGGCAAGCACACGCGCCCTATAGCAAAAATCTCTCAAAAAAAAAAAAAAAAAGAGAGAGAGAGAGAGAAAGGCAGGTGGGAGGCTACAGGGTTGTACTATAGATGGGGAAGCAGGTGGAACTTGAGGGAAGAAGGGAAGATTTTATTTGTTTATTTGCCTTAGTATATGTGCACTCACTGGAGAGACAGAGGCAGTGAGAGGGAAAGTGAGAACTCACTCCCCATCCCCTCCCACCTCAGGAAATGGCCATGCCACAATTCCTTCTCCATTCTTCTCCATTCTCCCCCATTCTCTCCTTGGGATCTTGGGCATGCACACACACATGCCCAGTGTGATTTTTAAGCCATTGGATCTGGGACTCAAACTGCGGTCAGCCACGTGGGAGTCCAGCGACATAACTGCTACGCTATCTGTTGGTCCCAAGGGAAGAGGGCCTTTAAGGATAAGTAGAATTTCACACTGGGCAGAGGAAGGAATAATTTGAAATCTGGTTGTAAGAAAGGGCATGATACAGATGGGACATAGTAAACTCCATGGCTTGGAAGAAATATGGGGTTTAGAAGACTGTCAAATGAGTCTATAAGACAGGCCTGATTATGATTATGAGAGGCCTTAAACATCAGACCAAATTTATTATCACGGAATCATAAGAATGAAGAGAGCCTGCGATATTATCTAGTCTAACTCAGATAAAGTAATTTGGTCCCTGTTTTTGTTGTTGTTGTTTGTTTGTTTGTTGCCATAAGGTGCATGCATTTGCAAGAGAGAGACAGAGTGATATGGAAAGAGAGAAAAGGAGAAATCACCCCCCAGGGAGTATGGTCATGCCGTAATCCCTTCTCCTCCATTATCCTCTTGGGATTCTCGGTATACACACACACACACACACACACACACACACACACACACACGCCCAGTGTCATTTTCAAGCCACCAGGTGTGAGACTTAAACTGCAGTTAGCCATGTGGAAGTTCAATGCCTTAGCCTCCACACCACCTGCTGGACCCATCCCTGTCCCTCTTAAGGTAGCCACTATGACAAACAGCATCCCAAGTGCCTATTTGAACACTGTTATTTCAGTGTAGGGACTCAAAACCTACTCTTCTCTCTTCAGCCACTTGGAGTTCTTTCCAGAAGGACCGTTTCATGACTGGAGAGTCTCAGAACACAGGGAACAAGGGCTAGAGGATCTGTAACACACTGTCTGAAAGAGCTGCTTTTGGAGCTGAGGGACGGGAGAGGGACATTGGCTGTGTGTAGGCACCGGGCACCAAGTCCCCGATTGTATAACACCTACTCTGTGAGAAAGATGAGTAATCCCTCCCAGAGGAGAACACTGAAGCTCTAAGTAGAAGTAAGGAAGTTCTCAAGGTCCAACAACTGTGCGGAGTAAAGTGGCCCCACATTCTCCGGTTATACAGCCAAGGGCTTCTATCCCTCCTCTCTGCTTCCTTCAAGGCTAGACAGGCCTGCCTTCAAGTAAATACCACTCACAACAGAACTGCAAGATAACTTTCACTTACATTAATGGCTGATGACTTCAAGATGATGGTTGTATGAATTTAGCCAAGCTCTGAACTCGATGCATCAAAAGCCTGCAGAGATATTTGGCAAACTGATTACTCTTTTAAAATAATCCCTGGGATCAGCTTATGATAAACTTGAATGAGCCCCCAAATTCAAAAGCCCTTATCCTCTTACAGACCTCTCTTGAGACCACAGAGTGTTTCCAGCTTCCAGATATAGCAGATGCTGTTGCTTCCAGAGTGATGTCATCACTTAAAAACCAAGGGGGGAATATAGGCAAGAGCATGTGTGTGTGGAGGACAAGGAAGGAAGGGGCAGTATGAGACCCCCTCTGGGACATGTCTGGCTTGAGCGCTTCTGGAGTGAGCGTGCTACACCTCTGTCTTCTAATGATGGCAGCTTAGGATGCCGGGAATCTTAGGCAGGGAGTCTGCGAGGAGAGTCAGCAGGGAGAGGTGATCTAGATGTGAGAAAGCTCAGGGTAACTGATGGCAATTGGAGGGCCCAGCAAATAGAGCCAGGGGAAGGAACAGCTGAGGCTGATGTGAAGGTTGGACCCAGCCTGTGTCTACACAGACAAGTCAGAGAGTTTAGAACAGCTAACTTCAGGGTGCATTAGAACCACCCAGGAAGCAAGTCAAAACCTTGGTTCCCAGGGATGTCCTCAGAGACTCTGAGTCTGGGGTGGGCCCTGACTGGCATCTGTAACTAGTTCCCCAGGCAACTTTAGGTAGACGGTCCTTAGGAAACATTGGAGACAGGCTGTTCCTCTCTGGACCTGGACCTCAGGGCCCTGCTCTGTAAATCAAAATCTTTTTTTTCTGCTGCCTCAGTCAGCTCTGACATGGGGCTTCTCAAAGGCTTCGATGTCATCTCTTCACATAGCTTGCAGGCCTCCTTCCCCCTCTCAGCCTAGCTGTTTCCTGTTCCTTTAGTTTGTATGCCGGTCAGGCGGGCACGTACCTGCTCGCTTCTTGAGAAAGGCCACACGTGGCAGACTCTAGCAACTCCATCTGGTCTGCCCATTTGGGTGGGAGCAGAGCAGCATCGTGTGTGTTCACGTGGGTGTCCAAATGGGACTGAGTTCCTCTCTCTGGAGGCCACGGCTTGGAGCCAAGACAAAACCACTTCCAGGTCTCAGGTCACAGGATCACACAGGATGATTTATTTAAGGAAGAAAGCTTCAAGGGCTCCAAAGAAATTAAACATGTCTATTTCTCCAGCAATTATGCAGTGCTTTCCCTTGAAAAATAGACCCTGTGCCCCACCTGGAAGAAAAGCCAGATTCTCAATGAAGCTGTGTTCCGAAGCCTCTAGAAGGGACTGTGTTTTTCTAGCAGGAGGAGCCACATGAAAGCCTTCCCAGCAGCCCTGAACTGTTCCTGCTGCAGCCCCCTCAGCTCAGACGGAGCAATCAGGGAGTTCTGTCTGAAAAAACGAGACAGGCTGGGCCCGAAACATTGATTTCTGGTTCAAGTTTCCCTGCAAAGTGTAAAGGAGGAATTTTCCACTTCTCCTTGTCCTGATTCACCTTGGCTGTGTTGGGAGTCCCAGAGGGGGGCAGGGAAAATCTGTTTCAGGTGGGCGTCCAGCCAAACGTGCACCCCAAATGAATAGTCGTCTGTGCCGTTCCCCAGATCAGTCTCTGCTTGGCCAGGAGAGGAGTCCTTCCACCTGACTTCTGCTTTAGCCATTTTGCTCTGGGAGGAACTGGGCCAGAATGTGAAGAGAAGAGAATGTCGTAATGCCATGCAAGTGCTCGCCTCTGGACATGACTGTAAGTGGCGATTCCGGTCCGTTTAGCTATGAAGTGAATAGCCGGTGCTGTTTTATGCCAGACTTTACGAATCAAAACGTGAATTAGACACAGTTTCTATTTTGAAGAGTTTAGTATTATCCCTACACTAATAGAGTCTAGTGGGAATGACAGCCGGACAGATACCAGCCAGGGGAGATTCTGATAAAGGTGAGAGGAGACATAGGATACAGAGATGCGGGGTGGGGGGTTGGGGGAGTGCTTCTGGCTGGAATGCCTTCGGGAAAGCTTCTTAGAGAAGCTGCTGTTTCTACTGGGTCTTGAAGGATGAGCAAGACCAGAGAGAGGGTGGAGAGGGCAGGGGCAGGGCCAGCAGAGATAAGCGCTGTGGCTAGAATGTCCTTACACACGGAGGTACAGTGTGTAGTCTGGGACTGTTAGCAGGTAGATACGCTGAGATGAGTAAGACAAGAGACTTGGAGGAAAGAGGGCCAGGCTGTGAAGGCATTCCAAGTTATGGTGCAGGTCTGGGGTTGACAAGGTAGACAATGAGGACTCATCGAAAGATACATAACCGGTGAGAGAGGAAGTGGGTGTAGAGGGAACCTGTCAAGCCAGACGAGGGCTGAAGTTGGCCAATGTTAAGCCAAGGACATAAAGGAGAGAATCAAGAGACATTTTGGAAGAGAAAAATAAATGGTTCAACCAGGCGGTAAGAGATCATTTAAAGATTTCTTAATGTGTCCAAATTCTTAATTAAGTAATCGTTTTTTAAAAAAAATTTTTTTGAGGGACCAGCAGTTAGCATAATGGTTATGTCGCTGGATTCCCATGTAATCGACCGCAGTTCGCGTCCCGGACCCGATGGCTTAAGCCATCATTTTAAAAATTTTATTTGTTGGACCAGTAGATGGCATGGAGGGTAAGGTCACAGGACCCCACATGGTCAACTGCACAGTTCAAGATTTGAGTCCCGGACCAGGTGGCTTGAAAAACATGCCAGGCACATATGTGGGCATGCCCAGAATCCTGAGAGGAGAATGGAGGGAAAGGGATTGTGGTGTGACTATTCCCCCAGATGATATTTCCTCACTTTCTCTCTCTCTGTTGCTCTGTCTTTGTCAAGCAGACATGCACGCATGTCTTTTAGTTTTAGTTTTTTAGCAAAAACTAAACAACAACAACAGCAAAGAAGAAAAGCTTCATTTATTTATTAAGCAAGAAAGAGACACCCTTGACAGGATCTTGCTACACCAGAATCCTCCCTCCAGCCTCCCAGCTAGCCAGGACCAAAGGCACATGTGGGCGCACGTTCAGGTCAACCTGGGATTCCACTGGGCCTTCCACGTGGCTCCAGCATCACCCAGTGGCACGTGCCACCTGTGCCACCAAGTCCAGTCTGATCTCTACTGCAGACGATGGCTGAGGATGGCAGGATGGTTTGCGAGTTGCATGCACCGGCTCCAGCAGGAGAGGTCTCTGTCTAGTGCCTGGGCGTGCGTCTTCCTAGACAGTGACCAGAGGTAAGTTGTTTAACTTCTCTGTGCTTCCCTTTTCTCCTCCGTAAAAGAGAGTGGGCAGGCCATTGCACTGTAAAACTTGACTAACACTGCAGTCTACACTTCTGGTGTCATTTGTTCCTCAGGGGCCTAAAAGAGTCTGGGACTGCAAAGCGGGTATGCCTGGTGTGTCACTCTGTTTATGAGGGTGGGGCTCATGCTGCCCATTTTGAGTCTATCTGGTAACACACAACAATTCTGTTTAATGATAAAAAAATCTTCATAATATAATGCTTCTTATGAAAGTGAAGAGGTCTAAGAATGTATTGTTTCTTGGACAGAAAATAGATTTTTCAAGGGGAAACCACTGGCAGGGTAGTATTAAAGATCTGGGGTTTCTTGAAAGAGAGCACTTTGGGGCCAGCAGATGGCATAGTGGTTATATGGTTGAACTCCCACATGGCAGACCGTGGTTTGATTCCCAAACCCAGTGACTTTGAAAATCACGCCAGGCATGTGTGCGTTTATGCCCAAGATCCTGGGGAATGAAAGGAGGTGAAGGGATTGCAGTGTGGCCATCCACCCTGGGGGTAATTTCTCACTTTCCCTCTCAGTGTCTCTGTCTTTTTCTCTCTCCAGCAAGCACACATGCCCTAAGGCAAAAACCTCTCAAAAAGAAAATAAAAAAGAAAGAACTTTGCAAAGCATCCTTTACAGTCTTACTATGGAATTACGAGTGCTGTGATAAGTGATGTTTTAAAATCATTGTTATTGTCAAATACAGCATATGCAGAGTCCATGAAACGTAAATTACAGCTAAACAAACTAATAAAATGGATATTTGCATAACCATCACTCAGATTAAGTAACAGAACATATCAGCATCTCAAGGTCCCTTCCTGTCACACTCCTCCCCATAATTTTTTTTTTTTTTGAGGGGTTTTAGCTATAGGGCACGTGCGCTCACCAGACAGACAGAGAGAGACAGAAAGCAAGAAATCCCCCCCCGGGGGGATGGCCACACCGCAATCCCTTCTCCTCCATTCTCCTCTTGGGATCTTGGGCATGCACGCACACACGCCCGGCGTGAGTTTAAGCCACCGGGTCTGGGACTCGAACCGCAGTCGACTATGTGGGAGTCCAGCGACATAGCCATTACACTAACTGCTGGTCCCCTCCTCCCCATAACTTTTGTCTTGACTTTTATAGCCACCAACTGCCGACTCCTCTCCTCTCACTACCTGCATATGTACCCCCGGCTCCTGAACAGCAAGATTTCATTCTGATGGTCTTTGACGTCCCCACTGTGGACTCGTAGGCATGTACTTGTCTGTGTCTGGCTTCCTCTTTCAGCTTGAAAACACCAGCATGCCTACGTGCATGAGGCTGCGGTTGGCATATTTTCACCACTTACTGTAGGAATGCACCACTATTTACACAGATATTTGACTTTCAGTGGGCCATTGTGTTGTTTCCAGTTTGGAACTATTTTGAATGGTTCTGCTGGAAACATCCTTTTCTTTCTTTCTTTTGCTATAGGAGGCATGTATGCACTGGAGAGAGGGGACCTAGTGGTAGTGAGAAAACACTTCCCCGAGGGAGTGGCCATGCCACAATCCCTTCTCCTCCACTCTCCTCCAGGGATTTCCACTCTGCACTCACATGCACCTGGCAGATTTTTCAAGCTGTCACTCAAGACTCAAACCGCACAGCCAGCCATGTGGGAACCAGCCATCTTAACCACCACACCACCAGCTGGCCCCACTGGAAAAATCCTTATTCACATCAAATACTTTTTTTTTGGAGAGGGTTTTGCTGTAGGGCACATGTGCTCACCAGAAGGACAGAGAGAGACAGAGAGACAGTGAAAAATCATTGCCTGGGGGGATGGACACGCCACAATCCCTTCTCTTCTCAGGATCTTAGGCACACACACACACACGTGCCCGGTGTGAGTTTAAACTACTGGGTTTGGAACTTGAACTGTGGTCGACTACATGGCAGTCCAGCGACATTATGCCAACTGCTGGTCCCACATCACATACATCTCTGTTGGGATTTCTCAGGTAGAAATTGCTAGGCCATATAAAGTAGGGATGGCTTCACCTTTAGTAGATACTGTTAAGCGGTCCTCCAAGATGGCTACACCACTCTACCCTACCTGTAACAGGGCCTTAGAATGCCTACGTCTCTCCATGCTCAACAAAACCTGTCGTCATTGGTCTTTTTGTCACATTTGATCACTAAAGGAGGCTTGAGGGGCACCCCGGACAAATAACTAGAGGTTGGTGTGCAATCAAATCAATTTCAGTTCTCAAGTGTTATAGTATTTGTAAATAAGTACAATGACTTGCTTTTTCAGAGGAAGGCCCATAACTAAGCTTTCACATTCAAAAGTGTATTGCAAACTCCCAAATGGAGTAAGAGAGGCAGGCTGAGAGTGGGTGGATTTGTTGGTGTAAGAGGCAGAGTTGTAAGGAGATAAAAATGACATTCCAGAAAGGTACATAGAATGGAAGTGGAGACAGGGATGAGAGAACCAAGGATGCACTGAGCCAGGACAAAAACTCTGAGGGAACAGCTGTGCCAGAGAGCTTAAGACTTTGACTATGTCTTGAACTTCTAACATGTACGTGAATACCGTTATATTGTTCTTACTCCCTTGCCTTTTCCCCAAAGAATATACAGGTACTCTTTGACTAATACTGGGACTGCACCCCAATGAATTCAACCTAAGTTGAAAATATCACAATTCTAAAATACATTTAACATACCTATCTTACCAAGTACTGTAGCTTAGTGTAACCTACTTTAA